AACACATGAAAGAAAATCTTGCACGACTTTGAAAATGTGAGCATTAAATCACTTTTTTCCTACTTTCCCCTTTTTGTTTTTATATGTCTTTTTCTATGTGTACAGGAGGGTAAGATCATTAAAAGCAGCAGCGGCTTCTCTGGAAAGGGCTTCAAGTTTGATGAGACAGAACATGCTTTGGCCAATGAGAGAAAGAAGTTGCAGAAAGCTGCTCTCGGATTGCAGGATTCTGACGATGAGGACGGAGCCCTGGATGTAAGCAGCCTTTTAATTTCAAGACAATTTTTAGTACCTCATATCCTCAGTCTTAAAATTATGTGGTGATATTCTACTGAGTCACCAGAAATGTATTTTTGCATATTTGTTAGCGGTAAAGTGACAAGTACATTCACATTATTTGCTAAATTTAATCATATTCAACCTTTTCCATTTCAGATTGAGGAACAAATTGAAAGCATGTTCAACTCCAAGAAGAGGGTGAAGGATCTGTCTGCTCCTGGAGCGGCTGCTGGTGCACCAGGAACTGTTACTGCTACCGCAGCTGCTCCTGGAGGACTGACAGGCCTCGGACCAACGTCCGCTGGAAACATCCAGAAACTGGAGATGGCCAAAAGGCTGGCGCTCAAGATCAACGCTCAGAAGAACCTGGGCGCTGAGGCTCAGGTAGGTCAAGCCTCTGGTGCCACCATGAAGTTGATGATGGTACACACATTCCTGTTTCTCTCTTGATCTCTTGAGTTTCTAAAACAACATTCTCAGGTTAAATATGTAATTTCTCCAATACTTTGGTTTGACTTTATGATCAAGTGTCTACAAAATTCATGAGCTTCAGCTGTACTTGTTCCTGCTTAGTGCTAATGAGTGAATGTTATCTTGTTAATTCACTAAGCTAACATGATGAACATGGTAAACATTACACCTGATTAACATTAGGATGAATTAGCTTTTAGCTAATGGAAGTCATTACAGAGCGCTGTCAGCATGGCTGCAGACTCCTAATCTTTTTGATCTTAATCTTGGCACTATAAATGCATGTATAAAGTTTGTTTGCATTATATTCTGTTCTCATTATCTTTTGGTTGCTGGTAGTTAAATCAGAAAGGCCACGAGTCTTGTTCCACTGACAGTGAAAAGGCCAAAAGCTCTTCAGCTAATACATCCTGTCTTTGTTCAATATCTGACATTCATTTCATATTTCTCCATAATTTCACATAAAGGACTTTCATAGTTTTGTCTTATCAGTTGTATGTTGTGTCCATATTTATTTTTCCACACATGAAGTAAATACAATAAAACCGTCTTTCTGTCTTTTACAGGATGTGATGCAGCAGGCCACTAACGCCATCCTGCGGGGCGGCACCATCATGACTCCCTCTGTGTCGGCAAAGACCATCGCCGAACAGCTGGCGGAGAAGATCAATGCCAAGCTCAACTACACTCCCGTGGAGAAGCTGGAGGAGGAGCGGCAGGCAGCAGAGCAGGCTGAAACTGTCAAGAGATATGAAGAGGAGCTGGAGATCAATGACTTCCCTCAGGTCAGCGGCACACAGCGCAGTACTGAACTAAAATATACTAAAATATTCAGCAGGTTCCTGTTTTATATTTGGCTCTTGTTTTGGGATTTTCTCTGTGCCAAGTTTTAATCGTTATAGTGTGATGGTGCAATGCCATGCAACTTATCCATGCGCAACCTAAAACAAAAAGTAGACCATCAAGACATTTTTTATTAAATGTTTTGCTTAAATTTGAAGTTTCCTGTTTGTGTAGCACAATTCTGCATTACTTCATCAAGTATTTGTCTTTCAGTGTGCCGGATTTCTTTATTTGTTCCTGAATTCCAGCTCTGTTAAGCCCATGAATGTTAGTTTCAATCACAAGGGCTACAATTTAGAATATATGTCAGGGGTTAAAGTCTCATGTCAGTTTCACAAATTCATGCCATCATCCTTGTGTGACAGTCATGCTCTAACTGGTCATGTGGTAGTGCTTCATAATGTTTTAAATCTAATACACAGCGGAGATAAATTAAGATGGAACTTCCCAAAGGACTTATATAGGAAATTGAAGCGTGACTTTAGAAAATGGTTTCGTAAATCAAGTTGCATTATACGTCAGAAAAATCAAAGTTTTACCCAAATCATTGAGCCCTATTCCTGGGTGTGATAATAGGTACAATAGGCTTTAAACTCTCAACCAGAGAGAACAGTGTTTTAGCTTAGTGTTTGGTCATTCTTGATGTTTTTCTGCATAACTTTAGCAACAATCAAGTTTGGAAAAAGATTTCTTACTTATTAGTTATTAAGAAACTTTAGCTGTGAATGTAGGTTCCTTTGTTTCTCACCAGAGCTGCGTCCATGGGGGAAACTCCTCCTCCTCTTTTGTTTTTGTTGTAAATCCTTTAACTTGACTATCTTTTACTTTCCCAAGAAACACAGAGATTACAAGAGCGAGTTTATTTCACTGTCTGGAAGCCCCTTTATTAAATGCATTAAAATGTCTCAATCTGTACATTTTTAGGCAAATGGTAAAGTTAGTTTGACTTTTCTTGGACTTCTAAAACCTTTTTTTAAAAGTCTCATTTAAAAAAAAAGACTTTAAATATACCTTGTGTTAAAACTGTTGTTACATTATGATGTCATGGTTATGTAAGTTTGTTTGCAAGAGAAGATGCTGAAACTACGCAGATTAGAAGAGCTGTGAAAACAAGAAAACAGCATCTGTCAGAATAATGGCTCCTGTGTTTGCACTATGAACAAGCCAGATACAATAAGAACCTATTAAATATTACATTTAGCTTCACGGAACCAGTCACAGTTGCAGTCTAGTTACTACTGTGGAGGGTAGATCCAACCAACATGTATATTTAAGCTTTAGAAGGGCACAGATAGACATCTGTGATGACAAATAACAGAAAATTATCTACTCATTTAGGATCATAACATAAAAACAGTTATCTTTAAGGTAGCAAATATTTAAGAATCTTTGCTCTGTGATATTTTTCCAGAGTTTCCAGAGTTAACATGCTGTTGTGTTTCAGTGTGTTTTTTGTACTTTGATGGAAAGTGTCAGTGGAAAAAAGAAAGTATGTTGCTAAGAGTTTTTTTGAATGTTTCTGACTCTGGTCTTCCACAGACGGCCAGGTGGAAGGTGACATCTAAAGAAGCTCTGCAGAGGATCGGTGAATACTCTGAGGCTGCCATCACCATCAGGGGAACTTATTTCCCTCCAGGCAAAGAGCCCAAGGAGGGAGAACGCAAAATCTATCTGGCTATTGAGAGTAGGTGTCAGAGACATGATGTGTCAGTGCTGCGTTTTTGAATATATTTATGTCTTGCCAACTCGGTATGAAGGACATAATGTATTCTTGCTAGAATCTGTCTCCATGCCTCTCGTCTGGGAAAATAAAAGGACGCTCATTCCAAAAAACTTGTTGCAGTTGCTGGACCAAAGCAGAGAGAAATCTTCAAAGACAGCGTCCACAGACTGCTGTGCTCCCACAATGTTTTATTAATAATTTCCTTGCAATGTTTTGATCAATACGATCTTCTTGGAGTGTTTTGATCAAAAGTAGCATGGGAGTTATCAATAAAACATTGTGAGAGCACCCTGTCGTTTTCTTACTGTGTTACTCTGTTTCTTGTGAGGACGATAACTCGAGAAATGCACAGAACAGAAACTTCATACTCTACCCATGTGGGGTAGATGTTCTGATTAGATTTTGGAGAACCTCGCAGCATAAATTTTCATATTAATGAGGTAAAATAAAATCCTTTGTCATGGAGATCGTAGCAACCTAAGCACCTCTTGTGAAATACAACTCCACTCTTTCTTTTAACGTCCTTTTAATTACCTCGGGGAGATGAATTCACTTCCAATGGAGTGTCCTGCTTTCTTGTGCGTCATGAAACTGCATGTAACTGAATTTTAATGCCATGTTTGTTTTCCAGGTGCAAATGAACTGGCTGTGCAGAAAGCCAAAACAGAGATTACACGGCTAATCAAGGAAGAGCTCATCAGATTAGTAAGTATCTTCTGCAACTGGATATCATGTGTTTTTTTTTTTATGAAAGAAGGAAACCCGACAGACGTTATTCTGGTAAATATGTCGCTTAATGTGATTTCTTTTTTCTCTTTTTAGCAAAACTCCTACCAGCCAACGAGCAAGGGCCGGTACAAAGTGTTGTAGGGGAGCAACAGAGGCTCACTGGAGGAGTTTCCATCTCTCAGCAGACCGTCATCTCTACAGTTTCATCAAAGTAGTTGAAGAATATTTTAGTCTATATTTTTTAATAATGTTCTCTTCAATTCTCTAGTTTTGTTTGTATATTTCCTCTTTTTAACCCTCCTCTGTGCATCACTTGGCTTTTCTGTGATTTTTACATCCAAAATTCCTGAATATCAAAATGTCTAATGTGTAGTGTCCCAGCACACTTCTACCACGAGCTGTCGGCAATATGTCTTCAAATTTGTTAGACAGTCCTGTTTTGGTCAGATATATGTACATGCATCATTGTCATTTTGAGCAGAGCCTCAGGTGGAAGGTGTTTTTACTTTTCCTCAAAATAAAACCAACTGTTTGGATTATGACAATCTGCAAAGACACTGTGTGTTTGTACTGGCTGTTAATGTTAATTATTCAATAGCCTTTACCTTTTATTATTCATCAGTAGTGGGGAGGCTTGTTTGGTCAAAACTGGATTAAGGCTAGATTTTTATGTAACTACGTGGAAAATAAAACAGGTTTCCCAGCCTTTATGAATGCAAATGAGCATTTTAAAGACTTTAAAGCGAAAAAAAAAAAACAGCGTTTGGATGTGACAGCGGTTCAGGAGGGGAAGGAGAGTCACCTCCTCTGCGCATGCTCAGACTGCGCTCCCGTCTTATTAATTTTTAATGGAAAATGGCTGCGTTTCTTATCCAAACCGCTGGAGCTGCCAGATAAAAAAAGAAGCCGTCCGGCCGAACCGTTTCGCGTCCTATTGTCGTTCTCCAGCCGAAACAAACCGATGTGGTGAACCCATACGAGCGAGCCGATGTCCTGTGGAGCGAAAATATCCGTGAAAATGGACCGACTCACGCTTTGAAGGGATGAAAGATCATTTTTCTACTTAACCCTTTCTGCTCCGAGATCCACCGAACAATCGAGGTACAGTAACCTTAGAGCTAGCGGGAGGTGGAGGGGAGCGAAAGAGGGTGTGTTTGGATTAATTATTAAGCCGAAATGTGAGCTTTTAAATCAGATGTGTAGCCACTTTTTTCCACCGTGTTGTCTGAAATGTTTTCTTTAAACCGTTAGTCGGGGGCCGGAACGAGGCTAAATTGAGCCGTCGGTGTTGTTGCCCGTTAACCGGGGCTGAAGTGACACACACGGAGGAAGCAGGAGGTTTTGTCGTCTGGACGCCAGAAAAAAAAAAAAAAAAAAAAGATGCGGAATCCATGTGCATTGTTTTGTTTTTTTTTTGTGAATGAGTATCACTACGGGCGGTGTATGCGATAGTAAAGTCCACACCTCCCTGCGTTTGGTTTCCTCTGCAGCTGTCTGTCCTTTAGCTTTTTAAACTGTTTACAGCCTCATTCTGAACGCCGCACTGCTCGAGTTGAAGTGTGGAAGCAGTCGAGTGTTGACTTGTTGTGTTTACTTGGTATTAGAGGTGACAGGTGTTGCACGGAGGCACTTCGGCACCACTTCAGCCAGGTTTCTTCTCAAGGTCTACCTACTATAAATTGAAAATGGAGGGACCTAGATCTAGTGGCGGAGGCAGATTATTCCTACAGGGGTGACTAGGCCATAAATAATAACTTTATTTACATTTAGAAACAAGTATTTACAACTGCACATGCAAAACGTATTATGTCAGTTTTAGTAAATACAAGTGAAATAATTCATGCAATAAAACCTTAATAGTCAACTCAAGTTGCTATTGTTTTTTATAGCACATTCAAAACAACAAAAGTTGAGCCAAAGTGCTAACAATAATATCAATACATGTTTAAATATGAACGTTAGCACACTATAAAATGAATTGAAATGCACATTTTCCTGACCAAAATAAATATTAAGGTTAGGACCCTACTGTATTGCATGTATTTCAAATTTGCATGACTAAATTAAACATTAATATTAAGAACCTACAATAATATTTTTTATACAGATTTACCCAACTAATATAGATGTTAAGACCCTAAAAATGATGCATGTTTCAAAAACAAGAGTGTGCAAAGTTAAAACCCAAAGACTGTAGTATTAGTAAATACACAATAGGAACAATAGTCAGGTCACCATTAATTTTATAGCACATTTGAAGATACCAAAGTCCAGCCAAAGTGCTCATAATGTTGACATTGCAAATTTACCCGACAAGTTTAAATATGAAGGTTTAGAACCTATAAAATAAAATGAAATACAAATTTGCCCAACAAAATTAAACATGAAGGTAGAACCATACAATATTCTATGTATCACATTTGCATGACTAAATGAAACATTAATGTTAAGCGCCTACAATATTATTTATTACAGATGACCCTGACTAACTTAAATATTAAAATATAGCTCATTTAAAAATTAAGATTAAGACCCTAACTTATTGTATGTAATACAAACTAACCAGACTAATTTCAATATTAAGATTAAGACTATACAATACAAATTTAACACAACACATTTGAGGTGTTTTATGGTTAAGAGCCTACATTATTATTTGTTATGCTGTTTACCTGACTAACATAAATATTAAAGTTAAGACCCAACAATATTATTTATTGTATAAATTTATCGGATGTATTTAGAATATTTGGATGAAGACCAAGCAATATGTATATGTAAAATATATACTACAAATTAACTATTCTAACTCAGAAATTAAGGTTAAGACCCAAATTTGGGTGGTTTATTTAAAATATGAAACATCTTTTTACTGCCATTTGCATTTTTTGACCTCTGTTTAGTTTTGAAAAGACTTTTGAAAAATCAGAATGTGAACTGATTAAAACAGCCACAATTTATAGATAGTTCAGTTTAGATATTATTGTTGAATGATTTAGGTCAACAATCTTCAGGTCAGTTCAATATGTACTGTGTACGAGATTTAAAACGTGATGGAGAATTAGTGCAAAAATAAAGCTGCAGTGACAAAGTGTTTAGTTGTCAACATGCAAATTATTCGACAACTGTGTTGCTGGTTAATTAATCGCTTTGAGTATTTTTGGTGGAAGGAGTCAAAACTCTTTCATATCAGCTTCTGAACCCCGGGTTTAACTGTTGTTACAGTGGTTTTAGAAATTCATGCCATCCTCCTTGTGTTACAGTCACATTTTGATGTTGTCTCGTGTATGTTGATTAATCTGATGATTTCTTTTCCATTATTAGTTGTTTGGTCTATTTAATGTCAATCAATCGACTGTCAAAAATAGCTGCTGATGAATTTAATAGCTGACAAGTTATCAACTGATCTCTTTTCATATGTGTCCGCTAAATTTGCTTCTTTACATCAGAACTTTGATTTTAAAGTTTAATTATTGTAGTGAGTTTAATTAAGCTCTGGGCCAGCCTTGTTTTGGTTCCCATCAAAAAGTTTAGTGCTCATGCAGCCCTCAAGTTATTTCTTATACGGCCTTTCTTATAAACTATTCATCTCCTTTTTAGGGCTGCAGGGTGGCGCAGTTGGTTAGCACTGTTGCCTCGCAGCAAGAAGGTTGCCGGTGGGGGCACCGGAGTCTTTCTGTGTGGAGTTTGCATGTTCTCCTCGTGCAGCGTGGGTTCTCTCTGGGTTCTCTCTGGGTTCTCCGGCTTCCTCCCACACAGTCCAAAAACATGTTGAGGTTAATTGGTGATCCTAAATTGTCTGTAGGTGTGAATGTGAGTGTGCTTGGTTGTCTGTCTCTAAGTGTAGCCCTGTGATAGACTGGTGACCTGTCCAGGGTGTCCCCTGCCTTCACCCTAAGTCAGCTGGGATAGACTCCAGGCCCCCACGACCCCAGTGAGGATTAAGAGGTGTATAGATAATGGATAATGGATCTCCTTTTTAGGCAACTAAAAGCTGTGTTTCTGGTGGGGAATGGGCTCGTTGCTGCCCCTTGTGTTAATTGATGAAATCATTTAGTTCTATCTAACATACCAGTGGGTGTTTTAGCCTTAACGAGCCCTTTACAACATGGCTCAGACACTGTACTTGAACCAGAACTTAAATGTACAAGCAACACAGCAGTGAGACTTACACTTTATCCCGTGCTTTTAATTCTATTTTTTCCCCTAAATTTTTCTGTCACCACACAGCGTAGAAACTTATATAAGCTACCATATAATATGAATACTCCTTTTTTTTTGCAGGATATTTTTGTAGATTAGAGGTTGTAAATGCCTGGACACGACCAACTTATACAACATGCAAGAGTGCAAAGCCCATACAATATATTGCAAATATTGATATGTCAAGTTTTAATGGAAAGCTGAGGATGTCTCATTTGAATGCTGTCTTCAGTTTGTTTTTATTTTCACCCAGCACTGTACTATCTGATCACATTACCAGCTACACAAATAGAGATTAGCTTTATACCTTTGTGTGGTATTAACACATTGTTTCTGATCCCCAGCAGAAGATGATGCGCCAGGTGACCAGCAGTGACTTCTGCATGAACAGCAGGCCGTCATGCCTAGCAGAGGACGGCCACCATCCCGCCTCCCACTTTGACCTGTGCACCTCGCAGTCCAACAAGTTCTACCCTCCTCCCCCGCCGCCATCCCTCCAGATGACGCTGGCTCCCATGGCCTTACCCACCCAGAGCCACAAGCCCATGGTGTGCCAGAGACAAGAAGTTCTTGGGGGCGACCTCCGCTCGCCTGGAAAAATACCGGGAATAAAAGGCACCGATCAAGCGCCGGATGACAGCAAGAAAAAGAACAAGGCTGTCGGGAAGACGGGCAGGCGTGGGAGGCCTTTGGGAACCACCAAGTTAGCCGGATACAGAACCAGCACGGGGCGACCCCTCGGCACCACCAGAGCTGCTGGGTTCAAGACGAGCCCTGGAAGGCCACTCGGTACGACCAGAGCGGCAGGGTATAAGGTCAGCCCTGGACGGCCTCCTGGCAGCATCAAAGGCCTCTCTCGCCTCAACAAACTGGCTTACAGTAGCACCTGCAGCGGAGCGGCTTTCCCCTATCCACTACCACACAAAGAAATCCTCTGTGAACCTTCCTGCAAAGAGAAGACAGCTAATGAGTAAAAGCTCTGCCCTGTTTCTACTTCACCCGTCATCGCTGGAATAAGAGACGCTTATGCACAGGTTTCCTGCCACACACTGGGGCTGATTGTAAACTTTCCCAGTCTGCTGTGACGCTGAGAGGAGGAGATTTTCTATTATTCGTGTTGGTGTCATTTGTGTGCCTGCCACCTGATATAATTACTGTTAGTTTTTCAGTGCTACTGCTGGAGATCTATAGTGTATGAAAGGTTTCACTACACATTTGCTGTGTCTGTTTTCTCGGGAAAAAAAAAAAGCAAAACCAGATGTTCTTTGAGGAGAAGGCTTTTATCTAACAACTGTAGTGGTAGCTTAATTTTTAGTGTGCTATATGTAGCATTTTAACACCAACAAATGATGGAAACATTCATTTTAATAATCTTGTTTACTGTGTAATTACTGTAAACAAAGGAGACCATTGCTGAGAAGACTGATAGTCACATTTATGTGAAATCTGCCGAGCTGGTACAAAACAAGGACGAACTTTAAATGTTTTCACACTACAGTTTTATACAGCTAATATTGTTGGATTTTCACTCTTGCTGTTTAAACAAACACACCAAACAAGAAAGAAAGGACAGATGTGAAGGAGAAGGGTTGTAGGAAATGGAAATTCAGAGGAGTGCTTGGTAGGCAAGTGCTTTGCTCAGTGGTACTTCAGAGCTACACAAACAGATATTTCTCCACTCTTAACAGCACCCCAGAACTGAAACCTAAACCGATCGAGCTCCACTCAGCTCCAGAATTCACACTAAAAAAAACCACGACTCCTCCTAAAAACGTGTGACTCTCTAAACGTCACCTCACAAAATGTCTACATATTATTTGCATGCAAGTGTCATCGAAACAACCGACTCAAGTTGCAGATTGTTGTGAGAAATTAATGCTGTTATCCAAGTCTGAACTAAGGTTCTGTTTGTAATGTAATGTTTTTCACTAAAAGTACATAGAAAAGGAAAAAAAAGCTCACTTCACCTCCCACTTTGCTTATGGCCTGCTAAACGTTGGACTGGCGTGGACTGTGGTTGCCTTGTTGCTCCATCAAACGGAGACGTTGTTAGTTTTCTATATTCTGCTTGGTACTGGATCACTCTTCACGACAGTCAAATCTGAGGTAGCTCACCTTGACCATTAGATAGTTTAACCGCCTACTTGCTTATTCATGGTTTCTTGACTCCCTGATTTTGTCGACTCGTCCGGTGCTTGAAAACTGTTGATTCTGGTCCGTGTTTCAGTGCAAATACCAAAATTACACATTTTTACAAACATTGTTTTTCTACATAGCCTTTATGCTTCTTTTTTATCTACCTTAAAGCAACAAAAGAGGAACTTTCCCCAAACTAAACTGTCCAAAATAAGCAAAATATTTATTTAAATCAGGACCTATGTAATTAGTTTAGTTTACTCCCAGGCTCAACGCTGTACTAGTTTTGCACTAAAACTTGATTTTGTGGCTATTAACAAATTTGAACAAAATGTGTGATTAATGTGTTATATTCCCAACTCCTACAGCAATATGAGGTGCAATGTAAACATTTATGAGTGTCTTATTGCATCTATACAGAGAGAGAAAGAGCATACTGTTTCACTTTAAGAGGGACATCTTGTATCATTGTCACATTTTCAGTAAAGTCTGTCACCCGAAGAATTTGCATTAAACCACAAGATACAATTTTTTGGTGTAAACAAAGCTACAATCTTGGCCAACAATCAAAATTCAAGTCTAAATTATACTATATTTTGCTTTAATGTTACATTCATCACATGACAATAAGCAAATATAATCGTATCTGTGATGAATGTGTTGCTGAAAGCACTGATGATGAATGACAGGACAGTTACACTGTAGTCAAAGCACGTATTTACGAAATGTCTTTAAATTTGGTGTGATATTTGCCTGACAGACATTTACCCAAATAAGGATACAAATAGTTTTTTGGTATCCCTGCTCACAGATAAGAAAATACTTATAGGACACGTGTTTGATTTGGATTTTAATGCTGAGATGTAAACAAATGAGACCATCCCTGACCAGGCAGTCAGTCACTGCTGGCCTCTATTGGGCTTTTTTTTTTTTTTTTCAACCACTGGTTTGTATTTTGTGGGAAATCTGCAGGCAGAGGGTGCTGTTCCTCTAGAGGAAAAGTCAGTTCCCCTACAATAGTCTCCTTCAAGAAATCTGAAGAGAAAAGAACTAAAAAAAAGCCACATTTGTTGAATCTGATGAAGCTCTTACAACCAAAATCATAAGTGTGAGTGCGACTACAAATCATCTCAGTCATGGTCTCATTTGTTTACAGTGACCACACTAACAATTTATATAAATGTTTAAATTTCTACATTTAAATGAACAATATTCTTTATCCTTTTTTTTCTCTTATTTTTAGCAGTGGCATGATCCAGTCATGTCTATTTTTTTAATATTGCTATTTATTATTCTTTTTTTTCTTTTACACAGACATGCTCGTGTAAACCCTGTAAAGCACTTGAAACTGTTGGCTGAGCTTTTATGAGACGCTAATGTGAAATAATTTAGTGCAAATTTAGTTTCATTGGTTTAATAGTTGTTATTTCACAACTTGCTCAGTAAATACAGATCACATATAGTCAAATCTGATTTTAATCCAAAATAACTATTTGACTATTTGTTCGAACCATTTGGCAGATGTACAAATATTCTCACAGCTAATGAACATCGGGTTGTTCCATTATTCACATGAGGGGAATTCGAGTCCAGAGAGTGGAGAAATAGTGCAGCTTCACTGAGGTTTGACAAAATTAAAAACGGTTAAATCTGGTGCAATAATATGTTGTATGTATTGTACTGTGGAAACTTTGATACTATCACTTTTTATTATCGTTGTATTTTTAAACTTGTGTACAAGGCCTTTTATCACTTGTTTTGTTGACGTGTGTAGTGCTAACAGAGATAATTGAAACGTCGCGTACAAACATCCTTTTTCGCCCACCTTTACCAAAGAATATGATCTTATCTAACCATAGATGCTGTTTGATTTAGAAATACTCCAGCATCTCACGACATAACCTTAGCATGAAAGTTACTGTGTACAATGTAAATGGAAAAAAAAAATAACACTCGGAGTCCACTATCCAACAAAAGCTAGTATGATTGCTTGGATTAAAACCTTTACATGGTTGCATCTGATGCTTTTCATGGTTCAAAAGGCTTAAAATGCCAGTTTCTTGACTGCATTGTAAATGATTACACACTGATGGTGTAAACTTCCTTCATCGTTTTTACATCCATCTGTTTCTCTGCTTTGAAAGTACTGTCCTTTTTTTAAAAAAAATATATGATTCTTATGTAGCCTTGTTTGATATTTAACTGATGGATTTGTTTAAGGCTGACATGGTGCCTGGTTGTCGCACATTCGGAAATTTGTGAGAGTTATTTTTCACACAGTGTTTGTGTTAGAATGAAGTTGGATTTGTATGTTTGTTGCAAACCCTAATAGGACAAATGTGCTTGCTGTTAGCGAAATAGTTCCCTTTTTTTCCCACAGCAGATGTTTTGACACTGAAGGAAAAGTGGAAAGTAGCAAAACTAATTATGGCTGTTGCTCAAACTGCTGCCTGTCACACTGTTTGGGGCTAATTTGGACGTTTGAATCGATGCCAATTTTACTAGTAACTAGTAATTCTACGACAAATCAAAATGTCTTCTGTGAAAAAGATCTTTTGTCTTTCCTGCCCCATCTTCTAGCCTCTGTTTACAAGCATCTGACATTTTTTATTTACCGACCAGCTGAAACATGTTTTTCCGTCTTCTAAGATAACCGGTCTTATACTGATAATTATCTTGTCTTGCAGCAAACAAAAAATTATTGTTGTGTCAAATTTCTGCTCCAATGAGGTTTTAGAGTGTGCCAGACCCACATGGGTTTGGCTTGTGGAATACTGTGTTAAATAAGTTAAATGCCACAATTAGATGCATCATTCTTACCGAGCATGTAGATATTCTTGTTGAGAAAATGTAACCTGGGTCCAGACCTCTAAATTTAGACCCTTGTGTCAATTATTTAGAGATTATAGCAATAAAATAGAAAAAGTTTACATTACAAGAAGATCAGTGGATACAGATGACCAAAGCAAAGGTCTATGGTGGATTCTAAAATGGGATCAAGTGGACAAATTTTGCCCTCTTGTCCATAATTCTTAATGGCCAGCCTGGTCATAGGGCTGCGACTTTAAATAGTTTGTGTTACTATTCTTTTTTTCCTATTAGAAAAGAAAACACAGATTTGTGGTTTCATTTTGCCTCCCATATTTGAGTTGAACAAAGTTCACGATCTGGTACAGTAATAGTAGATGTTTATTTGTATTATTATATGACAAGAAATCCACAAGAACATGTTTCAGCTCTGTAGAAAGACTGATGAAAGAAACCCCACTCAGACAGGCTAGTTTGACCTCTAAATACCATCTGATTAAACTGTTTAAATGTACATATGAAGCCAAAAACAATACTTTAAGGCTGAGATTAGACATGGATGTGATCAACTGTTGGACGTGGTTAGGATTTAAGTAAGAGTTTAGGCAGGACTTCACAGCATGACACTTTTTTGTCATATTATCTCAGATATTTGACTTTCTCTTCTGTTAACTGATAAAACAGTCCACTGACCTCAGAACATCCCAAACTTCTTTGTACGTCTGTTTCACAGTGTAGCTTTCAGTTCTAAAAATACTTTGCTAAATGTAAGAACAAGGTGTTGGAACTTATAGAATAAATACAACTTCTTATCTAAAGTTAGCTCAAACTTCTACAGAGGACATCACAGAAGGGATGAAGAGTTCAGGGATAATTATTACCTGAGGAGTAATTACTGAAATTAAAATCAATGCTCACCCAAAGCACACTTTCTAATAGTTTACTGCCTTTTTTTTATTATTGTTTTTTAAGTGTTTTTTTTCTCTCATCATCTTCAGCATTCAAACAACACATGGTCTATCGTCTGTAGATGATTTTAAAAAAATATATTACCTCACATTTTGGGTGTTTTTGAGAAGACGTGAAGCCCAGTTTCTCCTGAGGCATGATTGGCGAAGCCTGTAAAGCTTTGTACTATTCCCATTTTATTCCTGCATGATTGTTGTGGAATGTTCAAAAGTTGTGTAATAAATCTGAAAGTAACACACTCTGATGAAATGCTTTCTTGAATTGTTTGCTTCAGCGAATTAATTGCACATATGTGAAAATATATGATTTTTATGACAGTATAGGTGAAAATAAGAATATGCACCGATCAGCCTGTTACAGCTGCCGCTGTGGTCTGAGGGACTCCACCTCTCTCTTTTGTGTGTGTGTGTGTGTGTGTGTGTGTGTATGTGTGTGTGTGTGTGTGTGTGTGTTGCGTTGCACTGCACTCAGGTTACCCTGCATCAGGAAATGATTGAGCTGATGTGAGTGTATCCACCTGTGCTGGGGAAGGCTGATCTACCAATCAGGAGCCACCAGGAGAATATAAAATGCCAGCAGACCAGCATTCGGCAGGAGCTGTTGACAGGCCTGCTCATGTGCCTCTCTGTAACTTTTGATTGTTGTTACTTCTGTGAACTTGTTGAGGCACTAGATTCTGTTGAAAGAGCCCCACACACACCCAAGATTTGCTGTTTCCCTCACCGGCGTTTGAGAGCTGTTGTGATTGTATTTCTGTTATTAGATTGGATTAGTTAGATCGTTTTTATTTTATTTTTCTGCGTAATAGCAATTTTAAACTCTAGGTTAGACTCTCCTTTTGTTCTCATTTTCACAGCACTCATTTAGACTTTAGCTGCCTCACTTTTGTGTTTATTGTTAAATCCTAACTTTTGTTCATAACTTTAAAATACCTCATGACATCAGGGTTTTATGTTACTTCCCTTTTCCCTAGCAAGCTGGTTGTAACATAAATGGGGGCTCGTCCGGGATGAAATCTGTTAAGGGAGACCCGGAATAGAAAAGTTACTATTAATTAAAGGTAAGATAGTGTCAGTGTGTGTGTAAATTGGTTAGTTGTAAAATGGCATCCTTTGACTTGGAAAGCTTCTTGGCAAACTTTTGCTTGTTCAAATTAATAAATGTAGAAAAGATAATTTGATCGCGATAGCTGTCCATTTTAATGTCTCTTTTGGTAAACAAATGCTACAGAAGCACTTGAAACCTTTATTCATAGGAAAGTTGGTGAAATTGGGTTTGATTGAGTTGCCGGTGTTACCTGAGTCACCTGTGAGTGTATCTGCCGCTGAGAGGAAAGCTGCTGATTACGTGGCACAAAGGGAGACGAGTGACGTGAGTGAACAGCCCAACACGCCCTTCACTTTGCCTCCCTATGATCCCCTCTCCCCAGTGAACACAGATTCTCTGGGTGAGGCCAGACTAAAGGTTAGGCTGGCACGACTCCAGTGGCCTTGTGATGTGTGGCCACTTCTGCTTCAGTGCAAAATTCATGGGAAAGCCCAAGAAGCTGTTGCTTCTCTTCCCTTAGAGGAGAACTTAAATTATGATAGTGTTGAAATGACAATTTTATGTACTTGTGAACTGGTCCCTGAAGCTTACAGGCAAAAATTTAGGAACCTCAAGAAAGCCTCAGCACAGACTTATGTTGAGTTCGTGAGGGAAAAGGGAACCCTCTTTGATAAATGGAGCAATGCTTGCAAAGCAACTGATTTCAATGCACTTTGTGAACTAGTTCTTCTTGAAGAGTTCAAGAAATGTTTGCCAGAGCGCATTGTAGTATACTTAAATGAACAGCACCTCTGCTTCCTAAAGATTAGATTAGATTAGATAGAACTGT